CAGGGCTCAGTCCTCTGCCCCAGGCTCCCATAGGACTTCACACCCAGGGTTCAGTCCTCTCCCCCAGACTTCCAGAGGTCTTCACACCAAGGCTCAGTCCTCTCCCCCGGGGCTCCCAGAGGTCTTCACACCAAGGCTCAGTCCTCTCCCCCCGGGCTCCCAGAGTTCTTCACACCAGGGCTCAGTCCTCTCCTGCAGGCTCCCAGGACAGGGCTCAGTCTTCTCCCCGCAGAATCACAGAGGTCTTCAAACCCAGGGATCAGTTCTCTCCCCCGGGCTCCCAGAGGTCTTCACACCCAGGGCTCAGTCCTCTCCCCCAGGTTTCCAGAGGTCTTCAAACAAGGGCTCAATCCTCTTCCCTGGGCTCCCAGGTCAAGGCTCAGACCTCTCCCCCAGGCTCCCAGAGGACTTCAAACCCAGGGCTCAGTCCTCTCCCCCGGGCTCCCAGAGTTCTTTAGTCACAGGGCTTAGTCCTTTCCTTGCAGGCTCCCAGAGGACTTCACACCCAAGATTAAGTACTCTCCCCCAGGCTCCCAGGCCAGGGCAGAGTCGTCTTTCCACAGGCTCCCAGAGGTCTCCACACCAGGGCTCAGTCCTCTCCCTCAGGTTCCCAGAGGTCTTCACACCAAGGGCTCAGTCCTCTCCCCTGGGCTCCCAGAGGTCTTCACACTCAGGGCTCAGTCCTCTCCCTCAGGTTCCCAGAGGTCTTCACACCAAGGGCTCAGTCCTCTCCCCTGGGCTCCCAGAGGTCTTCACACCCAGGGCTCAGTCCTCACCCCTGGCCTCCCAGAGTTCTTCACACCCAGGGCTCAGTCCTCTCCCCTGGGCTCCCAGAGGTCTTCACACCCAGGGCTCAGTCCTCTCCCCCAAGCTCCAAGGCCAGGGCTCAGTCCTCTCTCCTGGACTCCCAGAGGTCTTCACACTCAGGACTTATTCCTCTCGCCCAGGCTCCCAGGCCAGGGCTCAGTCCTCTCCCCCCAGGATCTCAGAGGTCTTCACACCCAGGGCTCAGTCCTCTCCCCCCAGGCTCCCAGAGGTCTTCACACCCAGGGCTCAGTGCTCTCCCCCAGGCTCCCAGAGGTCTTCACACCCAGGGCTCAGTCCTCTGCCCCTGGCTTCCAGAGTTCTTCAGTCACAGGGCTTAGTCCTCTACCTGCAGGCTCTCAGAGGTCTTCACACCCAGGGTTCAGTACTCTCCCCCAGGCTCCCAGGCCAGGGCAGAGTCCTCTCCCCGCAGGTTCCCAGAGGGCTTCACACCTAGGGCTCAGTCCTCTCCCCTGGGCTCCCAGAGGTCTTCACACCCAGGGCTCAGTCCTCTCCCCCAGGCTCCAAGACCAGGGCTCAGTCCTCTCCCTGCAGTCTCCCAGAAGTCTTCACACTCAGGGTTCATTCCTCTCCCCCAGGCTCCCAGAGGTCTTCACACTCAGGGCTCAGTCCTCTCCCCCAGGCTCACAGAGGTCTTCATACCCAGGACTCAGTCCTATCCCTTGGGCTCCCAGAGGTCTTCACACCCAGAGCTCAGTCCTCTCCCCCAGGCTTCCAGAGGTCTTCACATCTAGGGCTCAGTCCTCTCCCCCAGGCTCCCAAAGGTCTTCACACCCAGGGCTCAGTCCTCTCCCTTAAGCTCCCAGGCCGGGGCTCAGTCCTTTCCCCACAGGCTCCCAGAGGTCTTCACACCCAGGGCTCAGTCCACTCCCCCTGGCTCCCAGAGTTCTTCACACCCAAGGCTCAGTCCTCTCCCCTGGGCTCCCAGAGGTCTTCACGCCCAGGGCTCAGTCCTCTCCCCTTGCTCCCAGGCCAGGGCTCAGTCCTCTCCCCGCAGGCTCCCAGAGGTCTTCACACCCAGGACTTCGTCCTCTCCCCCAGGCTCCTGGAGGTCTTCAGACCCAGTGCTCAGTCTTCTCCCCTGGGCTCTCAGAGGTCTTCACACCTAGGGCTCAGTCCTCTCCACAGGCTCCCAGGCCAGGGCTCAGTCCTCTCCCCCCAGGCTCACAGAGGTCTTCACACCCAAGGCTGAGTCCTCTACCCCATGCTCCCAGAGGTCTTCACACCCAAGGCTCAGTCCTCTCTCCCAGGCTCCCAGTCCAAGGCTCAGTCCTCTCCCCCATGCTCCCAGAAGTCTTCACACCCAAGGCTCAGTCCTCTCCCCCAGGTTCCCAGAGGTCTTTACACCCAAGGCTCAGTCCTCTCCCCCATGCTCCCAGAGGTCTTCACACCCAAGGCTCAGTCCTCTCCCCTGGGCTTCCAGAGGTCTTCACACACAAGGCTCAGTCCTCTCCCCCAGGCTCCCAGGCCAGGGCTCAGTCCTCTCCCCACAGGCTCCCAAAGGTCTTCACACCCAGGGCTCATTCCTCTCCCCCGTGCTCCCAGAGGTCTTTACACCCAGGGCTCAATCCTATCCACCAGCCTCCCAGAGTTCTTCAGTTGCAGGGCTCAGTCCTCTCCCTGCAGGCTCCCAGAGGTCTTTACACCTAGGGCTCAGTACTCTCCCTCACGCTCCCAGAGGTCTTCACAACGAGGGCTCAGTCTTCTCCCCTGGGCTCCCAGAGGTCTTCACACCCAGGGCTCAGTCCTCTTCCTGCAGGCTCCCAAAGGTCTTCACATCCAGGGCTCAGTCCTCTCCCCTAAACTCCCAGGCCGGGGCTCAGTCCTCTACCCACAGGCTCCCAGAGTTCTTCACACCCAGGGCTCAGTTCACTCCCCCTGGCTCCCAGAGTTCTTCACACCCAGGGCTCAGTTCACTCCCCCTGGCTCCCAGAGGTCTTCACACTCAGGGCTCAGTTCACTCCCCCTGGCTCCCAGAGTTCTTCACACCCAGGGCTCAGTTCACTCCCCCTGGCTCCCAGAGTTCTTCACACCCAGGGCTTAGTTCACTCCCCCTGGCTCCCAGAGTTCTTCACACCCAGGGCTCCGTCCTCTCCCCCAGGCTCCAGGAGGTTTTCACACCCAGGGATCAGTCCTCTCCCCACAGGCTCCCAGAGGTCTTCACACCCAGGGCTCAGTACTCTCCCCTTGCTCCCAGGCCAGGGCTTAGTCCTCTTCCCACAGGCTCCCAGAGGTCTTCACACCCAGGGCTCAGTCCTCTCCCTCAGGTTCCCAGAGGTCTTCACACCCAGGGATCAGTCCTCTCCCCCAGGCTCCCAGAGGTCTTCACACCCAGGGATCAGTCCTCTCCCCACAGGCTCCCAGGGTTTTCCACACCCAGGGCTCTGTCCTCTCCCGCAGGCTCCCAAGCCAGGGCTCAGTCCTCTTCCCGCAGGCTCACAGAGGTCTTCACATCCAGAACTCAGTCCTCTCCCCCGGGCTTCCAGAGGTCTTCACATCCATGACTCAATAATTTCCCCCAGGCTCCCAGAGGTCTTCACACCCAG